ATGATGCCTGGCTTGTAAGAGCTGAAAAAAAATTTTAGCTGGGATGTTATCATTGAAGTTATATTATTATTATTAATAATAGTAACAATGATAATCATTATTATTAGTAGTAATAGTAGTGGTGGTGTTAATGTGCTCTGTTAAGTGGAATCAAGGCATTACATTAAAGGATAGGGAATTAAATAAGAAAGTGGGGGCAGGGGTGTCAATACCAATCCTTATCTATGTCACAGCTTTCCCTGAGATTAGCTATAAGAGAAACACCCTGGCAGAGTGATGTTAGAGCCAAATACACAGGAACTCAAATTTTGGCTCTGTCACTTGATAATGTATAACTTTGGGGAAGTTACTAGTTTTCCAGAGTCTCGGTGTTCCTATTTGTAAAATGAGAATAATCATACCTGTATGAAGATTATCCAAATAGCATACACAGAGCATACAAAATGTACCTAGTGCCCAGCAAATATGTCCCCCTCCCTCACTGGCCAAGCTCTTTTTCCTTCATACTATGGTTGGCAGACTGCAAAATGAGAAATCCATCTGGATGGGTGAGAAATATGAGAATGTATTGTGGGCTCTTTGTTAAGAGAAGAAAGATGTCACTAGCTCCCTTACACCCTCCTCCCACTGGGGGAGCTGATGGAATGTACAGTCGGGCTGCTGAACGTTAGAACTTGCACCCATATTTAGGTACAGCATGTAGTGGAACAATTCTGAATTCACTGTAATGTGCTACCGCAAAATGGAAGCCTTCCAGTATAAAGGAGCACAAAAATAGGTTTTCATGGAAATTTAACTCTGGTTTTCTACCTTAACATAAATGAAATCTGAGTACATTTTTTTTTCCTGCAAAAAAAGCTGAAGATAATTTTTTAAAAAGCTATAAATTGAATGGCTACAAATATCTTTCCATTATCACTCCAAGATATTTATCATTTGATCTGAGTTATATGGAAGATATATCACCTGTAATAGTCAAAACAAGTTTAGGAACCCTTCTCCATTTTAAATGTTACTTCCTTGATGAAAATCTAATCACATTGGAAAATAATCTTCAAAATCACCTCATTTCTTTTCTCAACATTATTGTTTGAATGTCTTTATTCTTTTCCTAAATTCACAGAATATACTTCCCCTCACACATTACCATAACCTGTCCTATGAATTTGTTTTCTTTAGGTGTTTTGAAGTAAGACTATAAGAATTTTAACGTTTTAAGTATACTTTCAGGAAACTCTTTCTGATTTATGTAACTGTCTCTGACACTGATATGCAGTCATTAGTTACTTAAGTATTTTCTATAATTATGTAAGTCATGTTGACAGATTCTGGTAGGGTGCTTCCACTTTACTGTTTTGTCATCTGCAAAGTTCTGAAATGTATCAGATAACCATTTACAAATTAAACAGCTGTTAAGGGGCACTTGCTGACTCATTGCTTTCTTTGCCTGTGATGCTGGGTCCACTGTTTTCACCAGGGGTTCTTAAGTAAATACAGCCTCTCTTCCTCTCTCCCCACAGTCTTTTTTTTTTTTTTTGTCTTAATGATGACCAAGTTACGGTCATTGACTTTGTGGAATTCACGGTCAGATAGAGGAATAGGTGGTCAGATATAGGCCTATAGATTATTGCAACAGAATGTGGAAGATACGTGTTATAATAAAGATTTGAATAGTTGCCGTAATAGGGTATGGAATGACTAATTTCCCAGATGAGCTAGGGAAAGCTCCACAAATAAAGGGATCTCTAATCTAGGTTTTGAAGCTTCAGTAGAAGTTCGATGAATGACAAAGTGGGGAAAAAAGCCTCCTAGGCAGATGCACAGATAGAGGTATAGTTGAAAAAGATGAAGAATTGTGGATACCCAGGATATCAGATGCAGGAACCCAAGAATTGGCCAATGAGGCTGCAGAGCTGGTGTCACAGTGGAAATTATTTCAAAGGTCTTGAAAGTCTCTCTCTCTCTCTCTCTCTCTCTCACACACACACACACACATACACACACACAAACTGCCTTCATTCTATAAAACATACTGATGGGCTCCAACTTTTTAGAACATAATCATCATGGTATGGAGGGCAGACATGCATATCCTATCTGCTTTAAGAAGCCTAGATATGATACTTATTTCAAGATCGTGGAAAAGAAAACTATCTTCCTCCGTGTCTCAGTTATGCTCAGTTCAAACAGAAAGGCATTCAGTTATTACTGCATGGCCCATGAGGGTAAGAGAAAGATAAGTGCAGTATACCAAGTAATTTTTGAGACATTGGAAGGAAACATGTTGATACCCATGGAGATCCTCCACTTAACAGCCCAGACCCTTAGGAAGATCTGTGACCTACCTCATCTCTGCCATATTGATGCATAGTGACATGATCTCACCATACAGTGCTATAACCATGCACAGGACATGATACACTACACCCCTGCCCTGCCATGTCAATCATGGTGACAAGGCCCTGCTATACTCTGTGTGGGTACACAGTCTACTACATCTCTGCCACAGCCGCGTGTGAAGACATGGTCTGCCATACTTCTGACAAGTCTACACATGGGACATGGCCCATCAAGTTTCTGCAACATCCATGTTTTAGGGTGGTGCCTTAGTGCATTTTGTGTTGCTATAGAGGAATACCTGAGACTAGGTAATTTATAAAGAAAAAAAAAGGTTCAGTTGGCTTACAATTCTGATATCTGGAAAAGTTCAAGTTTGGGCATCTGGTGACATCATCAGGCTGCTTCCACTCATGGTGGAAGGGGCAGGGGAGCCAGCATGTGCAGAGATCATATGGCAAGAGAGGAAGCAAGCGAGAGGGGAAGTGCCAGGCTCCTTTTAACAATCAGCTTTTGGGGCAATTCTCATGGAAAGTAACAAAGCAGGAACTCACTCAGTCCTGCCCCTCCCAAGGAAGGCACTAATCTGTTCATGGGAGATCCACCCCATGACCCAAACACTGCCCATTAGGCCCCACCTTCAACACTGGGGATCAAGTTTCGACATGAGATTTAAAGGGATCAGACATCCAAACAATAGGAGGTGGGCGTGGTCCACCTTACCCTAAGCCACATCCAAGTAATGAGCCCTGTGGTTGTTGTCAGCCCAACTACTGTCCAGGTTCCAGAAATAGTCACCAAAAGGTAATTATGGTAGTGGCTGCAAAGAGGGGTGAAAGGAGGTATCTAACTCAAATTTTAGTTAGGGTCATGATGAAAGATGTTGATGAAGAAACAGTGAGAGAGAGGTTTAAAAACAGATTAATAAATGGATGAGGCTGGGCG